TCGGCTTTATATGACTTATAAGCCGATCGTAACTCGGCTTATAAGTCAACTCGTAAGTAAAGATGAAAGAAATTGAAGAAAAACGCGTGAATAAAAATGTTCGGCACGGTGGCGAAAAGCAGACTCCGACGAATAATATCGTCCGATCTGTTGCTTCCATCGAGAGAGAGAGAGAGAGAGAGAAATACAATTAATCAAGGCAGAAGCATGTGCGAAAGGGTATCGGCCTCTCTCTTTCATCGTGGTCGTCAACGTCACCGTTCTCGCTCACGTAGTTATACCCCACCCTGGTCCATCGGAGAAACCGGCAGCCAACTGGTTTAACTCGCCCAGTTCCTTCACCATGCGAGCGCGTCTTGGGATGCATGGCGAAGGAATGACGGGGGCATTCGAAAATTCGAATAATACGCTTCCGAGAGAGAAAGGAATGTTCATGAACGCACATGCCTTCGTTTCCTTGTGTAATTTGTATACGGCAAACATCGTACGAAGTCTGTCTCGTGGACGCGCCGTTGCAAGGATGACGCAACGGCGCATCTGTCGTCGAAGACAATCACGTGCGATAATTGAATGTCTACTCATTTTTAAATATTGCCGTTCCAAATTGCGGGATGTCACGAGAACCGCACGTGTCTCTCTCTCATATCTGTTCTTTCAGATTTAACGTAATCGTTTATTATTCCAATGGAATATTATATATACACACACACGGAGAAATACGTGAGATTTACGGGTAAAAGCGAAAAGATGATATGTAGGATTCGCAGATTCGGAATCAATTCTCGTGACCGAACAAGTGCAGATCCGAGGGTCTGCTGACGGCTTGAAACCGTGTGCAGCACGGTGTTATAAAGTCCTTTTGCGTGCGGAATCATAGGATTTTACTCTCGCACTATCGATTGGTAATCACGGAATAATCTATAATGTACAAGCGCGCTGAGACAAAATATCGAGAAAGATTGCCTTACGCATAACCGAATATAATATTTTCGTCTATTGCAAATAAAAATTTAACGATCGTATACGTTACGCTGAAGTTACGTAGCGAGCGTAGCTTCGGAATTATTACCCGCATCTTTCACGTATTATAAATGTCCCCGAGGTGTATATTTCGTAGAAAAATACGATTTCCTCGAGTATTGACATTCTTGTCACCTTCCACTTTATATCGGGCCCGGAGAGACTCAAGGAAAGCTGCAAATATATCTCTGTCTGAAAAACCTGAATTCTTCACACACGTATACATACACAAAGTACGATCGTTCGGCCGTGCCGATCACTCTAGTCGTAAAATTACATCACAGCTTCTTTTTCCATTACAGCACTCGTCTCGTCGTTAAGCCGAGTATTAATATTCAAGGTAACCCACATTTTTCTCTCGCTCTTCTCGACTGAGATCTTTAGTGAAATATTTGTTTAAATTAAGTAATTAAACCAAAACGAGAGACTTGCGCTAAATGAAGCTTTTCCCTCCCTTGTTAGGAAATTACAGTTTCGTACACCAAAAAATTTACAGTGAAAAATTTTGTGTTAAAATGGTCCAACGAAATCTTTATGTTACCTTAACTCGAGGAATGTGTTGAAAAATACACAAATACATGTTACATCAACATATTCTCCTTGTATTACTTTTTTAACACATCTTGCTAAAGTAACAGGAGAATTTGAGCGGACCGTTTGCAAAACAAATTTTTCACCGTATATGTGTGATGTGGAAGGAAGTGTCACAAAACGACTACGATACTTTTTCGTCTGGCACTTTTTGTCATACCGCTAATTGCCAAATGCTCTACATAGCAAGGCACGACGCACGCAATTCCCCGGTGAACCCCGCGTCACGACGGCACGCGCCCCGCCTGCTTTCCATTAATTAAATGATAAAATTCAGACGCGATGAACGGCCGAGCGGCGAGCTCATCCACCGTAATTCGCCCTTGAATCTTACACCGAGGAGGAATATTCCGACGAAAGATCGCTCATGAAAAATCCGAGCTTCCCGCGAAACGACACCAGCGTCGGACCGGCCGGCAAGTCTTGCGAAGCCTCTCGCTTCTATTTTTCACACCACTGTGACATACTAAGTACAGCATTACGTCATCGCGCATTAACGCGAAACACACTTCCCGCAACCGCAAGATGACGGGGCGATTCTCCAAATGCGCGCATGTTAAAACGCGAGTTGGGCAAGGCCCGTCTTGCATGCTTTAACCAGGGAATAGTCGCCTTTTCATCACTTCATATCCCAGAAATCCATTGCTCATGTCGCAGTGGATTTTTTTTACTGATCGGGAACCAATATGTACCTTTCATTTAGACGTTTAGAGACCTAACCTGTATAGCAACGAGAATAGACTGTGACCCGTCTTATTCATAATATAAGAATATATAACACATTGGGGTACAAAACGACCCCAGGTGATCGTAAAAAAAAAAAGGTCACTGTTTCCGGATTAATTACGCTACCGCGCGCGATTATGCGGGAAAAGACGTGGGCCGCACAGCCACAAAGCCGCGATATCTCGGGACGTAGAAATAACACGAATCAATCACGCGTTTTCTCTCTCTTTCTCTGGAAAAAGCTTCGACACAAGTCTGCACAAAAGCCGCACGCGAGGAACGCTTCCGTTATCGTTATAACTTCTGCAAAATGTGTGCGTCGTTCCGCGACGACAAAATGAGAGGGGAGAGGGGTCCTGAGCATTCCGCTTTGTTTCCCGACGAGAACAATCCACGGGTCGGAGGTACCACTCTGCGCGCTTAGAAACGGCTCCTCTCCCTATATCGATCCCGGTGGTGCGCATCTGCCGTTTCCGGCCCCGCGCTGCGTTACTATTTTGTGTATCGGGACGACGGAAAGGGACCTTGTCTCTTTCCGAGAGTTGCCTCGAAAGGGTTGCCGTTCTCGGCGGAAACTCGTCATCTCGCGTTACCCGCGCGATCGCTTCGCTGAATAAGGCTTACTCTCGCTTTTGTCCGCCAAGGCGAACACCTCGAAGGGCCCGAATAACATAGCAGCAGCGACGTGGGCGCGACGTTGGTTTGTATTCGAAATTGGAGAGCGCGTTTGGGCTTGAAAGGCGGAAAGTCGCACCGATTCTCGTGGGCTTTCTCTCAAAGGCGGCAGAAAGAAAGGTGTGAATTTGTGAAAAGTCGGCGGAAAATTTGATGAAATGAGTTAAATCTCAAGTTATCTTTTTAAATCAATCGATTTATTCGTTTGTTACTCGCTAGGAATATATTAATTAATTGAATGTAAAATCCTTTTGTAGACTATTAACGGTAAAAATATATTTAAAGAATTAAAAACTATTAAAATGTAGAGCTGTTGCTGCTGCTCGTTTTCCACCCCGCGGTACACATTGTGGTTTTGCCGGGATTACGAGTAATCCAGCTGACATTTTCAACAGAGATAAATGGTGCTCTGTTCCGAGAACTTTCCTGTACAGATTGAACGAAAAAAGGGAAGAAATAAAAATCAACGAAATAACAACAAGAAAGAACAAAAACATTCAGTAAAAACGAAGTACTTTTATTTTAACTGAGAATTTAAATAAATATATACATATTTGTTTAAATGGAATTTAGTTTGAGATTTTCTGCGAAAAATTTAATACTCTTCAATTGAAGACGAAAAAGTATCTCGTTATCATTGTTCGTTCTTGAGTTGTACCTGCTAAACCGCAATATACATCGCAGGCCAGCCCGCAGCAACTCTGTATGTTAATATTCCTACTTTTCCAAGAATACTTTTATCGTTAATATAAAGTATAATTAGCCTACAACAGAAGCTATTTCATATTCAATTACATCCTATACAACAGTAGTAACGAGACAAATTTTGCTTTTCGCAAATCCAACCCTTCCTAACCGCTTTAAATTCTCATCGCCGTAAGCTTCAAATTAATTACGATATCAAGAAGCCGAATGATAACATTTCAAGCTGGAATTATCCAGTCTGCAGATCTTAAATCTTATTCAACTCATGTCGTCCGGAGAACACGCCGCTCCGTTTCCGAGCGAAAGTCGTTTAATTAATTCCTTGTTCCTCCGGATTACTATTATTATTATCATCGTAATCTATTGTACTCGGAATTCAACATCGATCCTTTTTTTCTCCCTCTCTTTTCGAAAGCGTCCTCGCGAGAGATTCAATTAATTTCCAAGCGACGCTCGATCACAAGGACCGTCGCCAGGAGGTGCGGCCGACACGGGGTAAGATTGATGATTGGCTACTCTCCAGCAGGATGTAGTCCAGCATAGAGAACGGCATAGAGCCGTTGTTTACTACCGGAGTCTGTGGCTGTATTAATCACGCGCTAATCTAGATACGGCGCGTTATGCCATTGGACGAAGAAGCCGGCGCGCAGAACCTCGTGGTCTTTTCGCTCGCGACTGAGTCATTATAAATTACTGACTTATACGATAAGAATGCTAATGCCTCCCTTGCCGGCGGGTTGAATCAATGAGAAACGCGCGTCTAATCGCGATATCGGCCAGGTGCGAGCGGTTCATTAGGAACGCGCCGATCTGATGGCGCGTCAAGCGCGCGAAGACAGTGCTTATCACATTCGTGGCTTCTCCGACGAGTGGATCTAATCATCGTCTTATCTAAGAGACGCGCATAATGTGCCTTGAATAACTTGAACGTTTCCCCTTGAAACGCCACGTTCGTTGCGAGATGCGAGCGAAATGGAACACCGACATTTGCATTTGTATTGATACACACACATTGAGAAAAAGATTTCTTCGAATTTAACAAGTTTCATTGGCTTCCAAACAAATTTCATCATTGGCATTTATCAAGATAAATTCCTCGTTGAAGATAACTATTACTTAAAAGAAAGAAAGTAAACTGAATAATCGCTTTTCTTGGCGGTGAAATATTTTTCTGTGTGTGTGTGTGTACAAAATCGATTTTTGCTCGATGCTTTTCGAACGATGAACGATCGACTCTCTCTTTGTAACCTGTATTTTTTTTTTTCTTTATATAATTGTTGCAGATTAAAGGAAAATGGCCGTGTTTGGCTTGGTCTCGGCGGTTGCCGGATTCGTCAAGGTGCGGTATCTGATCGACAAAGCGATCATCGACAATATGGTCTTCAGGGCGCACTACAGAGTCACGTCGGCCATTCTTTTCGCATGTTGCATCATCGTCACCGCCAATAACTTGATAGGTGAGGTATCCCTCATTCAATTTCTGCCGCGGTGTCTCGTCGGTACTTCTCCTCTCGTCCTCACACACTCTCGAGAGAGTGAAAGTCTTCCAAGAATATGATTAAGAAAATCTTTCTTGCTGAGCAATCACTTCTGAGCTTTATCGTCGAGGACATTTTTGAGAGCGCTCGGGAACAAATATAATCGTTGTACAACACATGTATACAACGATGAATATCGTTAAATGAGAAGTAAAGAAGCAACGCGATCAAACGAGTTTATGCAGATTTCGTCACAAGATGAGGTGACATCTCGAAGAAGCGCGAAAGGAGGTGTTTAAAAATAGACGCGACGATGTATATCATTTAATTTACCGGGCGTGTGGGTATCGTATATACGAGTTAAAGATCAACTGCGTCGTAATCGCAGCGCAGGGCGCAGCCGGTTATGATTAGAGCCTCGAACAACGACAACGAAGAAGACCGTGTTGCGTTTCTTGGGGGACGCTCATGCGTATAGTTGGGGGATCTGTAAACACGAATTCCAGCGACTGAAGCACTCTTTTATCGCCGCATGGCGACACCGTACCCACTTTAATCGTCGACGGCTGATTAGAAGAAGCCGTGTTAGCATCTTGCGCTCGTAACAAACGGCATCATGCGTTCATTTCTCATTATAATTGTCGGCAAATCCAGGTCGCTCTTGCACGATATGATTGATAATCGGCGTGTCCCCGATTATGCAGGGGGAATATGCAGTTAGCAAGTAGCAATTATGTAATAACTCATCTTTTATAATCGTGGAGTGGTACAAATGTTTGCTTTTGTGATCGTACGTCATCGTTTTTGTGTTAATTTTGCACACAATATTTTTGTTACCTTTATCTTGTGTTAAATTAATACAAAAATTCGAATGAATCGTTTGGGATGAGATGTGAACTGTATTCGTAATAATAATGTACCGTGTATTCTCGTCACATCAGCGAGCACTCGTGTAGCTTAATTACATATGATCGGTGAACGATGTTCAACATCTGGAATACATATGAACGCTCCAACTCGGTGACGACATGTGACGTGCGTCTAGTTCGTTTGTACCCGGGGAAAAATCGCAGAAATTGTAAATGCCACATCCTTTCCAACAGTATTCTTTCACGTTCATTTCGTTTCTCCTCCGGAAAACATCGGCGTATACTTGTACGAATTTTCTTATAGAACAGTATCTCTTTCTTTCTCTCTAAAAAATAGCTACAATAAGTGCGCAGAGAAGAAGATTTCTTTAGATTTAGTATTTCTATTTATTTGACTAAAATTTGTTTCATAAAAACAACATATACGAAATATTTGTTGAGTAAAAATGTTTCATTCAAGAAAATTCTATTATTTAGCAGAAAGAACGCTATTATTTGAAATAATATCTTTTAGCCAAATAAAATATTATTTGATCACAATAAATTTATAAAATGAAACAAATAATTTCTTTATAACAAAGATAAAGATACATATTCATTGAAAAATCTAACAATCGTACTTATTGATCGAAATGTTGGTTTCTTTGAAGCATGCCAATGATGAAATTTGTTTGGAATGCAATACAATTTATTAAATTTGAAGAAATATTCTCAGTGTAAGGAAGCAGGTAGATGAACAGAGATTTGTATGGACGTAAGGTAATGCGTCGCGAAATTAATGCTCGTGTCAACACTCGCGGAGACGAGAACCGATCTTCCTGGCGCAACGAAACGCTGCGTAAGGACGATACACAATACTCGGACTCGAGTGATAGCGCACAGCATCTGCGAAGCGGCTCGCAGCCACAACAACGACGTGTCACGTAAAAAGAGTTATTTCCGTCGAGCGTGATAACGTGCCGCCTACGTTCACTAATCACGCGAGATTAACACGCTCTCTGCAACGGTAATCCCGCAAGATTACTCCGGTAACGTTGTTCATACAAGAAAGGCGCGGAATCATCCCTTATCTCTTCTAATGATCTATCTCAAGCGGGCGAGGCTGGGTAACGTCGACCGTCGTTTTAAATTCGCACTACTGCGAACAAACTCCAGCCTGTCGTGTTCACGACGATATCTCGACTTCTATCACCAGTACACGGGGACAAAAGGTCGGCTGAATTAACCAGGAACAATCCGAATGCGTTCGGTTGGAGGGAACAAAATTCCCGATTCTGAGAGCCGAATTTGGTTCGCAAGAACTGGGAATTCGCTTTCTTTCAACGAATTTATTCGGCGGTACTAATAATATATTTACTTATAACTAATATACATATTTTTCTCCTGAAAGGAACGGTTTATTCCATTTAAACACATGCACAGAAAAATATATATTGCATTCAGGTAAATGTTATTTGTTCCACGATGCGTACAGAATCTCCTCTCACCCTTCGCATCCGCCAGTAGAGCGAAGAGGAGCTTCGACTGTTCTAGATCATAAAATACGAGCGAGCTCTACTAATCGGTGTGTCCACTTTCGCAGGCGACCCCATCAACTGCGTGTCCGACGGGGGGGTGCAGCCCCATGTGCTCAATACGTATTGCTGGATCACATATACGTTCACGCTGCCGCGGAACAGCGCGAAACCCGTGGGCACCCACGTGGCCCATCCGGGCCTCGGCGGCGATTACGGGGAGAAGAGGTTCCATTCGTACTACCAGTGGGTGCCGTTCATGCTGTTCTTCCAAGGCGTGCTCTTTTACGTTCCGCACTGGATGTGGAAACAATGGGAAGAGGGCAAGGTTAGGATGATATCCGAGGGTATGAGGGGCGCCATGGTTGAGACCAAGCAAGAGAGGCAAGCCAAGACCGACCGGCTGGTCCAGTACATCATCGAGACCCTGCACCTGCACAACAGCTACGCCGCCGGCTATTTCTTCTGCGAGGCCCTCAACTTCGTCAACGTTGTGAGTTGCTGCCGCGACTTTTTTGTAACCTCTGCGAGAGAACGTTTTCGTAAAATTTCCCGACGAGCGAGATGTTTCATCGGAATTTTGTCGGAAGTCTCTCTGCAGCGTAGAAAAACACAATGATGATATCCGTGCGGCTGAGGATCGCTGGAGAACTCGTATTGAACGCACGACGCATTTTTTTTTTTTTTTTTTCAGGTCGGCAACATATTCTTCGTGGACACCTTCTTGGGCGGCGCCTTCCTTACGTACGGCACGGATGTAGTGAAGTTTAGCAACCTGAACCAGGAGCAGCGCAGCGATCCGATGGTGGAGGTGTTCCCGCGCGTGACCAAGTGCACCTTCCACAAGTTCGGCGCTTCCGGTTCGATCCAGAAGTTCGACGCGCTTTGCGTGCTCGCGCTCAACATCCTCAACGAGAAGATCTACATCTTCCTGTGGTTTTGGTTCATCATCCTGGCGGCCATAACCGGCCTGGCTCTGCTCTACAGCATGGCGGTCGTACTGTTGCCCAGCACGCGCGAGACCATCCTCAGGAAGCGCTTCAAGTTCGGCACCCCCACCATAGTGAGCGGACTCATCCGAAAGACTCAGGTGAGAGAGATCATTCCACAGATGAAAGGCATACTTTCGTCCTTGAAATACGATCGGGAAGCCGAGCCGGGACTCGGAGATGCACGAGAAAAATCAAGTAATTACCGACTTGTGCGATATTCGTATTCAATGTTAGTTTAGCTTTTTCTAGACGTTCCGCGCACCGTGAGGTTTCCTGCTGCCATTTCTCTCACCGTAGCGAAGTATTTCAGTACTTTGTTTGCCTCCCTCTTTTCGCTCTGCCACCGAGAATTATATCCTTACCTAGATTGTTTCTGATTAATGCTGTGTTTCTTTTCTTTCGATATTTTCATGTTTCCCCTTTAGCCTTTATTTACTGTTTCTTGTAATTCACTTCAGCTGTAATTCACTTTAGCTCTCAATAAGGTTATTATTACTAATTTCTAGGTTGGCGACTTCCTGCTACTTCACTTGCTGGGCCAGAACATGAACATCATGGCGTTCAACGAGATGCTGGAGGAGCTGTGCCGCCGTCTGCAGTTCGGCAGCAGCAGCGGCGCGTCGCCCACGTCGGTGCCGTCGGCGCCCAGCACTCTCGAGATGTCACCGATGTACCCGGAGATCGAAAAGTACGCCAAGGATACCGAGATCTAAACCAGCGCCAGGAGGCTCACTCGACTTCCCCCTGCCCCCCACTCTACTTTTCTACTTGTTCGTATTGTGATAATACCGAGACGGCAGTCCCGCCGTCTCGGTACCAATAAAGAGAGCCGTTCGTGCCGCGTACACGTCGGGTATCTTACCGCGCGGTCGTAAAACATATAACAAACATACACCATCGGCAAGCCAACGACAACGTCTCTCTCCCTTCCATCTAACTTCCACCACTCCGCTGTCCATTGGAACTCTCGTCGATCGTAAAACTTAAGCTCAAGCCAGCACTAAGAAGTCTCGGGACGACCTCGCCTTTTGCGAGAGAGTCCGATACTCATTACCGCGCGCTCGCTCGTAAAACGCACAAGCCGATCTTTCACGTCGGCGAACGTCCAATCGACGCGAGAGAGAGATGACCGTTCGTAAAACACGCACACGTGCGCGCTCACTCGACAAGAGAGATCTCCGGAGTCTCACCGTGCAATGCGCTGATCTTCTTCCCGTTCGACCGTGTTTCCACTCGACGGAATTGTCACGCGGATTTACTTCCGACCTTTTTCCAACGGCGTCGCCGCCGCATTATTTCATTCCGGGGATATCGCGAGTCACGTCGAACGTTCGTTATTACGAATATACACATTTCAACTCGATTCGTCGAGTTATCAGCGTTACACGTGCGTTCCGCAAGATTCGAGTAGCCGGACGGACGGGGCAAGAACCGGGCGCCGCGCGAGCCAATGCCAACCTTCGTCACCTTCTTGCGCGCTATAAAGCGCCGTCTCCCGGCGCTCGTTACGAGATTTTCATCCGTCTCGCAAAACCTTCCCTGGAACGCGCGCGAGCCGATGCCGTTTCTTTCTCGCCAATTCCCGCGTTCCAACGAGATTTCTTCCGTTGCATTATTCATTTTTTTCCCTTCCTTTTCGTCTCTCCGAAATATTTTCCCATTCGACCAACGCGGATTGTTGCGGAACTAGCGTTAGAATAACGGACAATAAATTATGACACGTCCGTCTGTTTTCGCCGAATTTTCAATTAGAAACGACGACGCGCTGGCACTTTACACCGGCCGCGGCACGAACTGGCGTTAGATTATCGAATATATAATGTAGACAATAACGACGCGTTCCTCTCGGGTCGATAGAGGACGCGTGTGCACGTGTGATCCGTCTGCGATCGCGTCCGGTCGTCCCGACACGGTAATGTGAGAAAGAGATCGTTCCGTTGAGTCCCACGAGCGGCTGTTCAAGGTTCGATTAGCGTAGCGTTAATCACTCGGGTAGCGACGACGAGTCGACGATGCCGACCATTGGCGATCGCTTGACGAGACCGCCGACCGCGGCACACATGATGAAACACGCGTGCGTGTTACAATGTGTATAAAAAAACGGTGTTCCCTCCCCTTTCGTGAAACCTTCCGTTTACACTACATATATTCTCTTCTATAGCGCGGAAGATATCCCCTTTTACGTAACTGTAGACTTCAATAAGGAGAAGAGGAAGAAGTGGAAAAAGAAGACGCAAGTGTTAGAAATATAGCCGACGCGCGTTAATGTAGCGCGTGTGTTAGAGGCGAGACACCGTCGTTCGATCATCCGCAATGAAAATGGCGCCGAAGCGAAGCGCGTTACCCCCTTCACGTAGCCATGTATTTAAATTTCTGTCATCTGAAGGTCGTTCTACCATTAGTTGCTAGTCGATCGCAACGTTTGTTGCGACGGCCAATTGGGAGCGTCGGCAGAGCGACAAAAGAGTTGTGCGATCGGCTTGCAACTGATGTGAAACGACCTCAATGGGCAAAGTAAAGCGGAGTCTACAATGAAAATTCGAGGCGTATAATTGAAGAAATTGACCAATCATAATTGATTTTTCTTCTATAATTCGACTGTGATTGGTTAATTCCCCAAGGCTTAAAATACCTATTGTAGGCCGATAACTAACGCGCCGGTGGCACTTAACAGGCGGAAGGAGCGAACGTGCTTGTTCCATTTCCTTATTCCCACCTTTTCTTATTTTTTTTGAGAGACCTCTCCACACGACTGGCGTCGTAGTAGAGAGAGAGAGAGAGAAAGCAAGAGCGAGCATCATAATAGAAATTAGACTGACAAAAGGGGACCGCGCGAGCAGCCGCATTATTGCTCGTAGGAACACGTACTCGCGACGTTCCCGCGTTTAAGCTTCTTCCCTTCTTCTCTTTTCACCGCGGATCCCGCCACAGAGAATTCCCGGTTTTTCCCCGTTTCCCCCGGAAACTGACTCGAAGCGACCGCTCACGATGTGTTGAAAAAAAAGAAAAAAAAACACTTGCATATAATCGTACACATTCCTAATGATAGAATTAAGTATTTCGTTAAATGTAGTCGAGATTATTTGAATTCGTTCGCGAGAGAGTATAGAGAGAGAGAGAAGGGGGACGAGATCGCCCGGCCGAGAATATTCCTAACGGGGCGCGCGCGTAAACTTTATTCTTCACGCGATTAATTGTCACGTCGCGGTAATCCGCCTTTCCTATTAAGGGAAACAACGGGAAGTTCGGCCCTACGCTCTCAGACTCATGTTTCTTCCGTGCGTACTCTCGCGTGCGGAGGAGACTCGATGTAAGCGCCCTGCCGATATAGCAACTATGTAACGACAATAACATAAACGCTACGATCCTTTTCCTTTATACGATAAGCCACTTGTTTAGATAACGCATTACCGATAGTCGCGCTCCGAGTGATATCTTAAAATAAGATGTTAGGACGAGCGAGCGAGCGAATGAACGAGAGAGTGAGTGAGAGAAAAAGCGAGAGAATGAGAGAAAGATCGATAATATAGTTGTAATTGTTCCGCAATGTGCCTTTCTATATTGTAAGGGACAAGAGAGAGAAGGATGATACGATTTTCACGCATAAGAATATTCTCATCGATGTAGGAGGTACAAAACGCCTCTCACGAGTCCGAGCACTCGGAGAGGAAGACTGCCGATACGTGCAACGTCGTTATATATAGCGATTACTGTGCTGAGCGAAAAAAATAAAAGAAATCCTTTCCAATCGCGGAATCTGTCATTTGTTTCTTCTGCGGGCGGGTAAGACAGGCGCGCGCGTCCGCCTCTGCGAGCGGGTTTAATTAGTACGTAGTCACCCGAAAGGGAAAACAATTCTGAAGTTTCTTTCTCCGGCTGCACAGCTGAAGCGCGCTATCCGATGTAGAGGAATCCTTCCTAAGCGCGAACCACTTTGTGCGAGGAAGTAGTTGTCCGGCTAAACGTTTATTCGGCGAAAAATATTTAAGGGTCTTTCGTGCCTTTTAAGGTCAGAAAAATTACTGTTTTTTCTCCGCATAATTTTGAAGCCTCAAGCATGTAGATCGTTGTATTACAATTATAAAGTCGAATTCGGAAAATTGGTCTCTCTTTCTCTTCTCTCTTTCCGGGCTCGGGGATGGAAATGAACAACCGTTCACGGTACGAACAGAACGAATCAATGCGCGCGACTGCGGAAGCTCACGTGGCACCGATGAATCTCCGTAATAAAAAGGGCACAATGGCGCGGAAGAGCGAGATAATCTCTCGCCTCTCAGCGTGCCGTTCATTTAGCGTAGAGTCGTTTCTCGTCTCTCTCTCTTTTTTTTTATTCGTATTGCAACTCACCGGTTGCCCCAGTCCACCTTATTGATTACTCGCAGCTTCAGCTCTCGTGTCTTATCGGTGGTGAGGGTGCCGGCCAAAAGCAGCCGCCGCCATTCCAGCAGCTCTCGCATCACTTTGCGCAGCGCGTTGAATTTGTATTCCTCGCGTTCCTGCGACAGAGACGGCAAAGCCGCGTGGGAGGCACATTTTGAATCATTAAAGAAATCAAAGAGAACGGAGAGAAGACGTTTTGTTTGTTGCGCGGCCCGGGGAAGATCAAACTACTCAGAAATCTATATTCCCGGAACGAGCGAAGTAACGGGGAGGGATAGCGAAAATGGAAGTTTCGCAATTTTCTCGTCATCGATCGCACTTTTAATATCTCGCCCAAACATATCGTTCTCGAGGCAGACTTCCTCGGTCGGGGAGAGAAACCGGAAGAGAAATGAAGCGCCGGGGATGTGAAATATACACTCACCACGTACAGCCTCTTCCAAATGCTGCCCCACTCCCGCAGCACGAGAGTGACTTCCCGAACCACCGGGTCCTCCAGCGGTATGACCGACTCGAAGAGACCCTCATTGTCGATCTTGCAGGGCTTCAGGTGCACGTAGGAACTGGGGAAGATCCCCTTTACCGCGCGATTCTTCGTCGAGAAGCCTCTGTACCAGCCTGAAATGGTCGCGGGGGGTTCCCCGCCAATGTTGCATTGTCCGAGCGAGCGCGCTCGGGAGTTCGAGAGTTCGATATTTTAAGTGCCAAGGGAAGAGATGATGCAGCTCGCGCAATTGTAACAATTATACGTCAACTCGAGCGCTAACAATGAAGTCAAATAATACTCGCTCGAGATGCGTCCGAACAATGAGAGGATTAATTATTCGCAGAATTTCCGTTTCTCGAGTCCTTTCTCAAGGCTTCCGCTTCCCTCCGTGTCGCAGCCATCTTGATTAATGATGTTAGAAACGAGAAAACATATGCCCGGAATTCTTATGGAATATATATGAAGTAAAGGAATATATTTCGAGATTAAATTATACTTCTGACCGATCGTTCACATTCGTAAGATATCCTGAAGAGTTTTACGTTAACAATCGCTAAGTAGCCGTAAAATCAACAACAAGTGATAAAGTCGTGAGAAAAGAATTAAAAAGCAAAGAGGAAGCTTTCGGAATATCTATTAGATGTGCTCAATCGATCACAATTTCCACAATAAGCAAATTGTGGAAACACAATAATGGTGTCACGAATTGACGAAGAATTTCGCAATAATGAAATGTTGCAATATTTCTAAATTATAATTTAGGAGCATTTTACCAGCTTATATATGCATTAATTCAATACCTTCAAGCACAATTATATTTCGAAATGTTTCAAACATAATGAAGTATTCTTCTCAATTATTCGGTAATTTTTTTTCCAAATTTAATTTTGTAAATATCTGCATTAAGAGGGGAACTAAACGGACGTTATTTTTATAGGCATACGCTTTTTCTTCGATGTATTTCCGCGAGAGATTTCCGAGCATGCGTTTTCTCGCTTCTGACGTCATGAAACAAGACGACCGTAACGAGAAAGAAAGAGAGAGACAGACCGGTAGCCTTAGGAAGAAAAGAGAAAAAAAAATAGTTCTCTTTATAATTTATGTCCGTATCATTTCATGCGATACAAGGATGCGTAATTGCGATATTGCCGTGCTTCCTGATGACTTCATCATTTCCCTTGGCATTAGACCTCGTCTCATGTCGGAGCATCGTGCGTGTGATCGTATATCAGATTTCGTACCGGCGCACTCCTCCAGGATCTGCACGGTTTCTCCGATTTCCAGGGGTAATCCATAGCGCGTGTCCCCTCGCCAATTGTACACAGCTGCAAAGAAAAAGAAATGAGAGGCATATAATGACACTGTTATCTGCAGAGAGAAAAAGGTTTCTTCAGATTTTCTATTTCTATTTATTCGACTAAAATTTATCTCGTAGAAACAACATATACGAAATATCATTTGTTTGAGTAAAAATCGTATCGTCTCATTCTAGAAAACTCTAGTATTTAGAAGAAAAAAACACTATTGTTTGAAATAATATCTTTTAATCAAATAAAATATTATTTGGTTACAATAGCATCCGAATTTCAACTCAAGTTACTATGTAATGTAATGAATGTGTTTACAAGTGTGTGTGTCATTTACAAGTCATCGACAGATTAGCATCAATTACGCATGGACCGAGCTGGTGTATCCTGTGGAGGTCACTACGGGCTTCTTTCCTAGAATTGTCAGCCACGATAAGCCAACTCCGGGGCACCGGATACGCGTGACGATGCACGTATGACGAGCCAGCTTCCGGTCCTCCGCTGGAGAAACGCACGCGAGACGCATCTCAATGAGCGCGTTTCTCTCTCTCTCTCTCTCTTTCTCCAGCTCTTTCTACATTTCTCGTGGGTGTGTTTTCTGGGCTTACGTGCGCGTAGGTACACAGGGTGTGTCAGAAGAGCATAAACAGAGAATTTGGAATGGATGTTCCTTCTCCAGTGAAAATTTATTAAAAAAAAACATCTACATGTAATATGTGAAACGTCGCACAAAAAGAAGAAAAGTTTGACGAAATTTACTCGACAATAAACAAACGAATTTCAATTGAAGGAATCAGAATTTCTAGCTCTTACGAATCAAATTCTTATAATCAGAAAAAATGTATAATCAGTAAGATAACGATCCTATTTATGGATCGAGTCCCATTAGTATTTATAACCAGAAATTCTGCTTTTTCTTCAATCAAAACGCGGTTTGATTTCATGGCTCATCGGTCGAGTAAATTCAACCAAACTTTTCGCGTGTAATTGATTCTTAACGACTTTTTAACGTATCGCCGTGGGTCGCTTTCTAATTATCGCCATCTAACACCGGACGTAATTGACGCACCGCAATTCTTAGCAATTCAACCGTCGGAGGTGCAAAGCTGCAAATTACGTCCAAGGACAGGATACGTCGCCGCTCGCCATTTTTGGGACATCCTGTATAATACGCGCTGTGTAACTCGCATTACTCATTTGTTCGCCCACTGTGCTGTCTACGAACGCGATGCGTAGGACAGAATGGCACAATTTTCGACAGCGGCGCATCGCTTCGCGTGAATTGTCCATTTTCCATCGCGACAACGAGCGTATGTAATAATACTCGATACTGCGCGTTCATTCATTCACGGAAAACACGATCGCATATACGATCCCCGTATGCACGCGTCATCAATTTTGACGAAACGGTGAACGTAAACGCAGATAACGAGTTCGAGCGGGCGATATGTCCACCGCGCGGACGTAATGCCATTTGCATGTGGCTGATGAAAATCCAGCTCGTGTGTTAACTTCGAGCTGTCCTAAGACCACTGGAGCCCGTGAAACTGGACGAGCGACATGAGCGTGCGAAACGCACAATTGACAAATTTTACAATGCAGTCAATGGCCATGTTGAAATGTTGATGCTACTCTGACGCCCTTAATTTTATAGATTCAATTTTCATACTTATTTTGAAGCTACAAATGTTCTCAATATTTTAATTATTAGCTTCATATGAATATTCAAAACGGTCTACTTCAATACTAAACATAACGGGGATAAAAATTTGAGATCTAATAGTCAAAACATGAGTAAATTATTAGTCATTAGAGTTGAACCTGTTTTTTGCTATCTTAGATTTTATCGTGTTGTATTTCGATTATTAAAATCATATGAGCATTCGAAGTAACCTATTTTAACGCTAGAAACGCTAGAAGACAAAAATGTAAGACACAATCATGATCAAGGTAGAAGTAAATTGTATCGTTAGAATTGAAGGTATTTTGCTATCTCAGCTCCTGCGTTGAAGAGAATTAAAAGTTTTAATAGTTCACACAGGACCAAAATTTCGGGTGAAATAGCGCCAGTAGCGAAATCGGCAGCGCGAATCAATGGCGCGGCGACAGTCGTCGGCCGCTTTTTCCGCGCGCCGAACAATAACAATGGGATATTTTACAGTACTCCGCCGAAGAAGGACCGACAATGCGCTGCCATGTGTTTGTCGCGAGCGCGAGAGAGAGACAGCGCGATCAATAGAATGTCACTTATACGCGGAATGTTTTGCGTCATCGGATGGCAGAGACAGAGTATTCCGTATAGTCTCGTCTGGCCTTAATAGAAAATTTCCCGGCACAGCAGGAGCCCGTCAGCAGCCGGCGATGCTGCTTTCTCTCCGTGTTTCCTACGCTAATATTTAACACCACGCTCTATCGCGTGTATATTGAAAATTAAGTTTGAATTGTGCGTTTAGGAGGACATCGAGTTCGATTCACTTGAACGAAACGATATTCGCAGGCGGATTTTTATTATACAAGATGGTGGTTACAAGATGACACGACAAAATTACAAGGACGAAATAAGGATACTCTCAGAATTTTTTCCAGCGAGATGAAATAAATACATATATATATAGTTTTAAGAACCAAGATTTAGTCGCTCGAATGAGATTTCGGTCAAAAAAATTTACCGAGTAAAGGACCGGCCGTAAAATCAGTGCGACAGCACTGTAAACATCGCAAGAGAAACGGGAAATTGTAAGTTCTTCGCATTACGCAAGGCACCGCTAAAAGAGGCATGTTTATTCCCTCGTCCTTCGCATCGAGCGCTTCGTCGTGAAAATAATAAAAAATAGAAAATCATATGAATATTCCACGGCCGCGCTCCAAAAGTATTCCCGACGCGACGCACGAACAAAGGACGAACCGGCGAAGTTCGCGTCGCACGGCTTTCCCCCATGGCTTTTCCCGGGGAATTAAATCGATAACTCCCTTTCTCGGCCGTACGAAACGACCCGTGGGGGGATCGCAGGCCTGCCGACCTACCATTCCTACCGTTCTTCCCAAATTTTCCGCCCTTCCTGCGTGGTTCTACGTTCAACTCGTCGCAGCGTTATTGTGCACGCCGTTGCTTTGTATATTTGGACTAAGAGCAAAGTGCTGCCGGCTTCGAACGTTATTAAGTCACCGAAAGATCGTATAAAAAGTATTCTCCATTTTCCCGTGCAAAATATATTTTTGAAAAAGAGAAAAGAAAGTTTCGTACGCGCAAATAATTCGCATCAGGATTGAGATTGTATAAATAATGGAGCAGGAGGCAAAATACGAAAACTAACGTAGGTGTGATAAACCTATGTTCATCTATTATGTACATAGTAGCTGGAGCTGAAGTGTTAATTTCTCTTCTCAAGCGTGTTTGCTTGTTTTATTAGATTTCACACTTTCTCATTTAATTTTTTGTCGTGCTGAAGTTTTTGCCTGAGCTATCTTTGGAAACAATCAAAGTAACATATCAGCGATAAGTGATTTGTTTGAATAAAAATTTTATTGTCTCATTCAAGAAAGCTCTATTATTTAACAGAAAGAGCGCTATTAATTTGAAATAATATCTTTTAACCAAATAAAATATTATCTAGTCTATAATAAATCTGTAAAATGAAACAATTTATAAGAAAATTATCTTTCGTTTGGAACAAATTTTGTATTCAAGATAAAGATACATATTCGTTGTGAAGTCTGAACCATCGTTAAACATGCCAGTGATGAAATTTGCGATCAAATTGATCGAATCTGAAGAAATCTTTTTCTCAGTGCGGAAGGTAGGTTCGCACAACACGACGTGTGTGCGCTCCCGCTCATACACACGTGGTGTAAAAGCCACACATGCGGAGCCGGCGTCGGACATCAATAACGCCGGTAGGTGGGGCGGGCGCGGCAGTTCGAAGGGGTCACGAAATGAAGACATAAACAATGACATCTGAAATCATAATGACCCCTGGACCCGTGCGTGTACACATATGTGTGTGTGTGTAGAAACGGAACTTCCGCCTTTTTCACACTACACTGCATGGAACATTTCTCACACCGTAGGTTCTTATATTCGACGTTACGACTCTGCGAGAGTCGCTCGCTGACAGTTTCGGCTTTCCGGATCGAGAGAATGCAACAAAATAACCGCGATTGCGAAACGCCGCTCGCTATTTTCGCTGCACGAGGTAAACGCCGAAAGGCAAGCGCATTTTTCGCGACGGAAACGCACGCTTTATGCGCGATCATAAAATGTCAAAGGCGTCCGCCAATGGCACGTCCACAAGCCGACCGGCTGGCCGGCTGAATTGCGGGAGCTTTTTGCGCGCATAAAATGTGGTTACAAACGAAGCGAAGACGAGTCGGCAGGAAGCGCGCCGATAATGTCGCTCATTGCGATACAAGCAATACATTAACAGTAATATTAACATTCGCGCGCGCGCGATTTCGAAACTCGCAATCGCGAGTTACAGCATCCTGCGCTACGGGATATTTATAGACGCAATAATTCTCACACAGCGCGAATAAGAGACGCTGAATACTAATGCGAAAATGCTTGTGCATTTCCCGTGGAAATTTATCTCTGCATCCGTAACTTTCGAGTGTGCTAAAAACGTTTACACGTACTCGGCAACGTTTGCAAAATATCACGTTTCTGCGCTTAATCGAAAGCGTTCACCACCAATCCGGTAATATGAGATTGAATATGAAATTAATAGGGAATACAATACGCTCGGATCGACAGATGTCGTTTTATCATGCAATTTCAAGCGAAACCGCAAAGCTCCGCCTCCGATCGAAGAAATTGAACTGATACTTCGCGAGGGCGGTATTGACAGGTCGTCGTAAAAAATGTATGTAGCGAATTACAAAGTTTCTTTCGATATTTTCGAGTTAAAATGGAGCCGCCTTTACGGCTCAGAGTTGGTACACGAGGGGCCCGATAATGGCAGCAATAACACATCTGCAGACTTGTTACACACACACATGAGAGAGAAAGAGGAGAGAGGGGGGGGGGGGGGNNNNGGGGGGGGGGGGGGAGTAGAACGCAAGAAAGTCACGGCACAGTGACGGTTCCACATCTACAACCGGCCGCTAAAAAGAAATAATGCATAGGGGCATGACCGCGTGAATAGTACTGTACATTGGTAGATTGGAAGATTGTGCTTTAATCGTGTCGCTGACATGCACCCTTACCGGTCTGTGCCGGTCTATATATATATATATATATACAATATTGTAGTTCCGTATATTGTATATTTATTGTATACGGAACTAAATTATTTGGATATTTGCGATAATCAAACATCTGGTCAAATGTTCACCAAATTTTAGTTAACTTATTACCAAATTCTCTTTTCAGTGTGCGGGTGTGTCTCATCTCGTGGAATTTCACGGTGCTCATTAACGGTTAATTGTTCGCATCGTGAGAACCACGTCCCACGGGATTACGTAAACAAGTATGTCTTCAAGATAAACGATCTTATCGCGAGGAAGAATGCGATAAACCGAGAAGGATTGCACGGGGATCGATGGTCCCTTTCTCCTCGACTAAAAGGTGCTATTTATCGGATTAGAGTCGCTTGCACTGCTTGGAGAAAATTGAGACGAAGACGGCGGCGACGGCGGCACGCTAACGACCTTAAACGAGCGCGAGGATTAACGCTCGCGTTAATTAATCGTGAAAAAATACCGGACGCGCAGGGGGAGGCCGCGCACAGCGACGTAAATTGATTTCGATCGCAAAGCCGAAGTCTCCACGCGCGGAGTCTCCATCGCGCACTCTTTTCGCCGCGTTGGAGATGTCGCGCAGCGTCCACGGGATCCACTTGATGAGGCAAGCTAATCGTCGTTATATGTACAATCTCTGACCATGTCATTAGACGCACTTTAATCTTTTTAATAGAATACAAGTTAGGAGGAGAAGAAAAGTTACTAATCTTATGTTTACTCGATTAGAATAATTTTCGACGTCAATTAGCACTTTTCACCTGTGCAACCTTCCGATGCGACAAACCACTTGTTTTACCCACAATTTTTGTAAACAATATTAATATTTCCCACATAAGAATTTGTTTTTCCGTTAGCAAGCGAGGAATTTGAAGTTTCAAGTCACAAATAAACAAAAATTAAATTAAATTCTTCAATAGACACACACTCAAAACTCACGTCCGTTCTCATTATTATCAACGATGCAACTAGCACGGGTTCATATTTGTTCAAGGTCATTATAACAGCCAAGTAAAATGACATAAAAAAAAAATACTTTTATGTAGAATAATGGTTCCTTAACATAATTCGATCGACAGATGAGCCGTATTATAAAACTGGTCCTCGGAAATCGATAAATTGTAAAAAATTACAGTGCGTCTAATAATACGGCCAGGGACTGTAGACATTCCGCGCGAACGGATTACGCGTATCGGATTCCGTCAGACGCTGCAACATTGTTGTTTCCTCATAAACATGCGAACCTGGCGAAACTTTTCGTGCGAAGGCGCGACGACCGTTGGCACACAGAAATCATGTGTTGACAAAATGTTATTGCTGCGTTACATTTTTAAAAAAATATTGTAAATCGTAGTCTTGTTTCTAAATATTGGAATAATATCCCAAAGAAATGTCGAGAATTGAATTTGTTCGATTTTGGGGCAAGCATTACTACGACATTTTATTCGAATAAAACCGATGAATCACGGCGATAAATCATATTCGCGCAATCATCGCGAGACATCTTTTGTCAATTCACTATGCTGCAATAATTTGCCTATTTAACGGACACGAGTTTCGTGGTTACGTCGGAAAGGAAAAGTGTCGCAACCTTCCTTCTTGCGACTGACCATATACACGTACGGTATCATCGTGGAAAATTAGGTTTTCCTAATTACTCCCAATTACAACTGGTCCAATTGCCGGCGCGCGTCAAACAGCGTGATGCGTGAGAGAGATAACATCGATGGCCCCGCAGAGATTCCCGAAAGATTCCCTCGAATTGACAGAGACAAAAAGAGACTCTCTCCAGTTAACAAGAAACATTAAATCAATCTTTTGAAATATTGATTTTATGTGGATTTTATAAATATTTAGACATAATATTTTGTAAATGTTTTTAAACTGTTACTTGATGACATTATATTTTTAATTAAAAAAATTACGATGCAGAAATATGATTTGTAATGTTTCGGTGAAACATTGTCAACATTAAGTATTTGTTACATTCCGCGTAAAGTGAACGTTTGAAAAGATCGATTTAATGTTTGTCGCGAGACGCGAGAGGAGCGAGCGTGAAATCCGGGGGCCGCCGGCTTATCAAACGCGGACTTTACTACTCGCGATCAATGCATGAATGGAGTGCACGCAGGGGCCGCTCACACACGCGCGCGCAACGTGAAGAAGAACGCGAGCGCGCGCGCGTTCTTCTCATTCCCGTCGAATTTCCGCGCGACGACGCTCTTCTCGTCGTCGAGGATGTCAGACACGGGATCGTCGTCTTCCGCGCACCGAAGTGACCTCGCGGTGGATCACGTGCCGCGGGTTTGACAGGTCCGAGAGATAGTGCGACGGAGGAGAGGGGAGGGGCGGCGAAGTATCTCTCGCCGATAAAACTCACCGACGCCGTACTTGGTGGTCTTCGTCGTCGTCCACATCTCGAGGGCCGACGGTAACGGCGACGTGGACCGGCGCTACTACATGCCACGACGACGCCGTCGTTGTGCGTGCGCGCGCGCGCGCTCACTCGCGCGAATCGACGCGCGATTTCGATATATTTTATCACCAGGAGGAACTCCAAAACACAAACATCGGGTGTGCGTTTACCGCTCACGAGTGTGTCGCACGCTCTGCGCGAGACCGCGGCCTGCCGTCAGCGGTGCGCGAGAGCAACGTTGCCGGTACGGGCCGTGAGACGAACCACAGCCGACTGACCGGCAACGCCGCCCTCCCCCGCCTGACAGGTCGGCGGCGGCGCGTCACGTGGCGCCGGTCCCGAGCTGATTCTGCTGCGCGTTTCCATGCCGCGACGTCGTTCGCCAGGGATTCTCTCCAACTTTTAACGACCGTGTCGTTATCGTCACTCAGCTTTTTCCTTGCCGTATATCACACCTGCGCGACTTCTTACGTTAACGACGCTTGTCGTTAATAAGCCAACAGCGTTGGTAAGTTACTTTTTTATTTTTATCCTATAATTCTATTATTCGTGTAATTTTACTATTTTGCTCATTATGTTTCATTTCATATATTTTATTATTTTTCCAAGTTTTTTTAATTTTAGCCGAGTTAAGCTAAAAAATTGATCACTTGGCAAATTTATTTGGTTAAGTTAAAAGTTACCTGGACGAAGGCTAATTTAATTAAAAATTCAGTTAAAATTGAATTAACGTGTTAAAGTTGAAAGTTAATTATGCACAATCATCTACCCTTACAACATAATATCTAAAATTGAGACATAAGACATCTTTAATCCCTACGACATTTTTAAAACGTATCTAAAATGTCATATATATATATATATATATATAGTTGTCTTTAAAATATTTTAAAGATGTTTTAAAAACGTCTCACATCCCAATTTTGGATAATGTGCTGTTCGAATATACATGTACGTAAATATTTTTTTGTAAGATTAACCTTTTTAACTACGGATTAAATTTATATGAAATAACGAAAGTAGCGACTATTTTATGCTTAGGATTCTATATAAAAAAAAAACGCTAGCATTTGGAGCAACGAAAAAAAATTCTGCTGGCCTTATTTTTTATTTTTCTTGTTTTATATTGCAAGAAGCCCATCATGATATTGACGAGTTATTTTTCATTTATATAAAAAAAACCAATAAAGTAAAGTCAATGCATTTTGAAATAATTAATTTAAGTCAAAAGTTGACCCATTAAATTAAATAAGTTGAGTTAAAAGTTACTTAATTTGGTTATTTATCTTTCTAATTTAACTGATTACTGGTTATCACCCAACCTTGCGTATAAAGATATGCACATATTCCACTTTTTATACAAAAATATACGCAATTGTAAATTTACCGGTGAGGGAAGGGTGAAAGAAAGCGGCACGGAAATTCCCTACATTTTGATTGGCCGCCAACACATGGTTATTTCTAATCGAGAAATTCCGATGCGTCAATTTCCTGTCCATTTCATTATCTGTCATTTAGTCACACTCGAAACTAGCGCGTCCAGAGATACCGACAAACGTTATCTCGCGAGATACTCTTTCACTTCAGCTGCTTCTGTACGGTTTTGACGTGCCTGTGTTCATAACTGAGGAAATCTTCGTAAAAATAAAAAAAAAAAAAGGAAGAACTCTCAACGTAGTTTCATGTCCATATTTTATGAACCATACCGAATCTTCCGTACGCTGCACGGAAAACGCAGGTAAGTAATTCTCTTTCATTTAAATACACGCTCGCCTTGAAAAAACACCCTCGCCGCGGGCGCTACCATTGCGTACGTGAGATCCGCCAATCGGAATACGCTACGCCGTGCGCTCGAGAAATTACCCCATAGAAATTCCCATGGAGGCTTCCCCTCTATCCGTAGTTCCGGGTACGCGGCCGGAAAAATTGACAGAGAGAGAGAAAACGGTTATCGACATACATAACGGCCGTGGACGCGTCGTACCGTTCGTTCGATCGGCGCGACCGACTACTCGCGGGAGGCTTCAGGATCGCGCGATTAGCACGTTGGCCCAAGAACGGAGACATGCGACCGGACTCGCGTAGCGTGTCGTTTACGTTCCACCGGGAAGTGTTGGCCGCGCAACACTCGCCGATAGTGGCACGGGCGATAGTGCGGCCGTTGGTGGCACGGAATTCGCGTAACCTGCGCCAGCGTCTGCAGGATCAGTTCGACCAAGCGGGCGAGAAGAAGAAGTCCAAGGAGAAGCCGGTGAAGAAGGACGCTTCGACCAACACCGACCGTGGCTGGAACAACCTCAGTCTGAGCAACGTGTCCGCGGACTCGCGCAAGGCTTTCCGGAGCGGTGCCGAGAAACTGTCCAGGACGATATCCTCGATGCGCACCACCTTCGGCACGATATCTCAGGTAAGGAAACATCGAACATTTCATGTTAACGTTCACACGAAGTTCGTCTCGATGTTGAGCCTTGTTTCTTTTTGTACGCTTTAAGAGATTCAAGTGCTCCACACGTAGACGTCACAGACTGGAGGAGCAGCACTCGCCGGGCTCGAAAATGCAGACACCCCAGACACGCTCCCGTCAGTTACTAGGCCGTACGCCGACCAAGCTCTACAGCCCCTTTGGCATCGAGTCGCCCAGACACGGATCGGACAAAGAGAACGATGCCACGCCGGTGCACGCCTCGTCGGAGTGCAACGCGCGTTACCTGCAGTGCAGGCCGTTTCGTTTCGCTAAGGGGAAAGGGTTCTCCGTGTTGAGATAAGAAGGCGGCCAGCTCTCGAAAGATATCACCGTCTCGATCTCTCTTCACTTCCTAACGAACGGGATTGCGTCGTACCTCGTGCGCGCTACACGTCGGATATAATTTATTTGTGTTCAATCTCAGAGGGAATTCCGCGCTGCGAGGATGTCGTCACAGGGCCGGCGATGATTTTATACAAGTAGCACGGGCGTCCCCGACTTTGTATACCTTCCACAATATTCATTCCATCGCTTTCTCCACGTATACACATATATCGTACACTATAATTCTCTATTTCCACTTTCTTATATATATATATTTATACCCGCAATATATATACAATACAATGCGTAACGTGCAGGGTCAACGATTTTATCCGAATGTGTGTGCGTGAAATGTTGGTGATTGAAATGATGTCCAAAAGTATCGAGAGAGATCGTAACAGAAATACATCGATACGACGACGATTTTTTTTCTTTCGTTCAATGCGCAGCTCCCATGAGGGAAAAGTCTTTTTGAGCTTGAAAAAACGCTCTAAATTCTTCACATCGTGAATCAAGCAGTCGTATTATTATAATACATTGTGATAATTGCTCGTTTCAAAAGGATAGATGCGAATATAAATCATTCGGCACTAAACAAACACGCACACTTGAATTAATAGATTAGATCTCGGCTGGGTACATTTTAGCTCTATCCTTTCCGATGATCATACGAGACATCTTCCTTTTATGATATATTGATATACACTTAGATATTCTCCGCATATAAAAAGCGGCACTTGGGCCGAAAAAGCCCAGTGAAGACTTCAACTGCTTTGAAGATCAAAGAAAGGCAGCTCTGATACGGCCTCGATGTAGCCCTACTCTCAAGTTATCACACATATCTAAACCTAATTTATTTATTGGCACGTAATAATAAAATTTTTTTATTGGAAAACCAGATGAAATGTTCGTTAACAAACCTAAGACTGTCTACTCCGGAATATGTCCCGAAAGAGATGCTATTGAAGACCAACGATATCACAGATATCTCTCGCAATTATATACAGTGTGATGGTATGTTTTTGTAAAATTGAATTTTCTCATAATTATTGACAAAGAAGGCTGATAACTCACCGAAAATGAAACGCGTGAAGGTAGGCGTCGAGTCACTTCGAACGTATTATTTCGTCGGGTAAAAGCGAATGTACTTGTTCCACTTCACACATACGACTCCATGTTGCAACACAATGTGACACATCGCGATAAGATTATATGAGCATATTCCGAAGAAATCTCGCGCCCCCCCAATTTCACTCATGTGGATTTGTCCGTTAAAACGATCGCCCGTCACTAAATTCGGCACTCTCGATACTCGGCCGCGCGCAAAATTCGCTGTCAACGTATAAAAAGTCACGCGTCGCACACCGAACGACTCGGCGAATCGCGCATGAGCAGTCTCGAACGGTACGAAATTGCCGCGAAGCGTCACGTGACGCATGTCGTAACCGACCGGCGTTATCGACAGCGTTACCAACAGCGGTTGATCTTAGAGCTGACACGTAAAGGTTAGTAAACACTTAATTTCGGACATAACAGCTTACGGAAGTGAACTGAGATGCAGAGTTTGGTCGCTGTAAGCGTGAATCGTACCGCAACTTTTACGAATATTGGCTTGAGGCGAAATCATAGCAATTACTAATTCAATTGCGATTGGCTACTAGTGATTACTCTTCAACCAATCAGAGCAAAACAACCGGTGGCTGCTACACTTTGTATGGTGGAAAGCAATCGCCAATCACGATTGAATCGGCAATCGTTAGTATAATTTGGCCGTTAGAGCTTCTATCGCAGTGTTCACCTCGTTCAGAGGACAGATCCTACGTGCGCGTTATTGTCGCAACGAATGCCGACAATAAGGATCGTATGTTGGTCGTGTTAAAGAATTGCCGTAAGGGAGTATTTGAATCTCACTGGAACAGTAATGTCGATAACGTCGAACAAAACGTATTTGTAACCGTTCGGAGCTCAAATCGTCGCGTATCTTGGAGCTGTCGAGCGAGTTTCGAACGCGTGAATTATCATCGGCAGTGCCGGGAATCAGTTTCGCGCGTGTTTCGTGCCGGAACATCGTCAAACAGCTAGCGGCAAGTGGATATATCTTGCAGAACGAACTAGTCAACGAAACAAAAGGTTAACCGTCAATGGAGAAGCTGGTACGTACCGATAAAGCAGAATCTGCAACGAGTAAGTCTTTAACTGTACCGTCGAATTATATATTTTATTTGTGAACGTAAGTCTTATACACACACAGAGATACGAAGCAAGCGATTCCTCGAAAACATAAAAGAGACAGCGCATTTGCTCGGTATTAAGAATCGGAATAATGTTAAAATGTAAAATATATTGTCGCATTTCATATGTTTTAGATATATATCACAGGTTTCTTCTTGTGATACGTGTTAACAATTGACCTATTCGACACGTTTATAGTAAAATTTCAATGTTCTTTAAAAGAGATTAGTCTCAAACATCGGCGAGATATTGTTAACATCCAACGGCTTTACGGTAGAATACATGTTCGAACATGTCGCTGTACACTTACGCCCTCTCGGCAAATATTGCGGAAGTAAAAAGCCCAACATGCTTGGATGGTAATCGCGGTAATGAAATTTTGTAGAATTTCACAATGTTTTCATATCATAGACGCACATACAAGACATATTAGTAATAAAAAATTCTAAAATGAATACAGAAAGTCATATTCATCTTAATATTATATTTATACCGGATGAGACGTGTGTGTACGGTTGGTAATGTCATCGCTCTCTAATTATCCTCGCGTGGATTCACTTTACAGTCGCACAGCCTGTTGCAAATCAGCAAATTGTTAATGGTATTTCGTTGAGTTTGCATTTTTGAATATCACAGTTCAGAATACGAAACAGAACTCGCACAATTCCAAATTAACTTTTCACGTATTAATAATTTTCAAGCGGATTTAGCGAAGAGTACGTGTCGTCATATATTCATTCATGCGTTTCGAGAAATTCGTTCGTATCTCGAAAAATATTTTGTTCGTATTTTTGGGAGACATTCGTTGAATAAAAATTAATTCACACCGATTAATTTACCCGAGTAGAATAGAAAATGACAATGACGTCAAAATGAAAATATGCATTTTATAGTAATTTTCTCGTCGTGTCTTGAATTTTCTGTTCTACCTGTGTATATCAAGTATATCAAGCAGGCTTATCAGATTAAATTAACATTTTAAATTATAAAAGGTAAACAGTAAATGCACATTTGCCGATTGATTCATATTTCAAAGCTGCTTTTTCTTTCTTTATTCGTACACACAGAGAAAAAATTTCTCACAAATTTATTTATGAGATATAAGGCTCACTTCACGGGAATAAACTTTATCTCACAAAAGTAAACTTTATTCTCTGTGAAATAAATCTCATATCTTGCAAGTAAATTTTTAAGTACTCTTTTTCCAGTGAAACTTAGTTCACATTCAATTTGCTTCTGAAACCCGCTCGTCTCGTCTCTATTCCGTGAAGAGAGAGAGTTGTTTCATCCGCGACCGAGAGAATTATGAAATCGTCCAAGTCGAAGATTCATTACGTCTAACTCAACGGTGGTTTCTTCATCGTTCTCGAAGTCACGTGTCGCGAGCGATTGTTCGGCCCCGGGAATTCGACATCCTCTAATTATATTTACACCAACTGCGACGCAACCCTTGCGGGAGGTCGGTATCTTTTTCCGTCGTGGAGTGTACATACATACAAACAGGCGCAAACGAGCATTTGAGCGATATAGAATAGCCAGAATTGTCATTAAGCTCCGTGGATGGTTTCCCATTGGGACCCGTGGGATTTCCCGGCTGCGCGTACACACATTCGCACGACAGCGTAACGTGCAGGTGCGCTCTCGTGTGTATGGCCGATTCCCCTGATTCTTATATCGACCCGACAGATCTGATATCATCCCTGGCGTTATCCCTTGGGCTCTCACTCATCTGCCGACAAAAGAGCATCTGTGCGAGCCGATCCGTAATGCTCTTGCAACCTGTTCACAAGTAGCCTTGCCCTACGCACAGCATGAATTCATTATCAGTCTAGTATAAACATATTGCCCGTCGCGGGGCGGGGTGCTGTCAGTCAACAGAGCCGCTCTTCTGATCCTACGTTACGCTTCTCCTAACCATGACCGCGTACAAGTTTCCACGCTTTGGAGAGAGAGAGAGAGAGAGAGAAATTCCCTCCGCTTCGTCGATCAGGCGCGAATTCGTGATACACACTGAGGAAAAGATTTCTTGAAATTTCATTAATTTTATCGCATTCAAACAGATTTCATCATCGGCATGCTCCGAAGAAACTAACGTTTCGATTACTAAGTACGATTGTTAGACTCTTCAACGGGTGTGTATCTTTATTTTAAATAAAACATTTGTTCGGAACGAAAGATAATTTTCTTACAAGGAAATCATTCGTTTTATTGTGACCAGATAATATTTTATTCGGTTAAAAGATATTATTTCAAATAATAGCGTTCTCTCCGTTAAATAATAGAGTTTTGTAATCAGCCAGAGTTTGTCGGTCAAATTTCGGGACACTTTGTATATGTGGCGCAGAAGGACGAGACGTGCAAAATTAATTTCTCCCTCCCGCTTCTCGATTGTTCGACAACTTTTTTCTCTTCTGAGCTTCTCCCTGTAATAGAATGAGAAGTTGCGTATCATCGAGATATCGTCGCGCCCCCCGTGTTCGCTTTCGACTGTTCATTCAACTATCCTCCAACATTTTACGCAAGATAATGTGACACGCACGCGAAGTAGAGAATGCTTCGAGCCTCTTCAGGTTGCTCGCAGAAAGTTTCCGTCAATTTCCAAAGACGAGAAATGCTTCGTGCATTAATGTGACGACGATCAGCCGAACGCTGGACAGTGATTGAATCTGGTGAAGTGGGGGAATAACGAGCTTCGAGAGAAAAGATTCGACGAGGCAGCGGGATCACTGTAGCGTCCGTAATTCCGATTTCCATCAACGATAGCGCAACGAGTCGGCCGCGGAAAGTCGCAGTTATTTTTACCGTAGGCTCAGACCATCCTTGGTTGCCTTGGTCGCACCTGTACATGCACGAGTAGCGCGCGCGTGTGTGGTCAATCCCCGACTTGGCTGTGTATGCAGGACTGCGGTGGCAGGTGACGGCGTGTTGTGAGCTGCATAATGAATAATGCCAAAGCCGAACCACAAGCCGTTCCTGTCCTTCCACTTGGCTGACTGAATGACAGCCAGTCTAGGAAAAACCACTGATTGGCTGTACATACCCTCTCCCTCCTCTCTCTCTCTCTCTCGTGCTGCTTGTCACATGCTCTGTGTGTGTCTACCGGCGATCGAAATCAAGCTGTACGACGGGACTTGATTTTCGTATTTCTGGGACACGCTATCGGCGAATTCGCGATGGATTTCGCGAAACATCGTCGCCGCCACCGCTTGGAAGGAGAAACACGATGACTAACATTAAAAATAACATCGGCGTTCGAGACACTCTCTGTAAATTTATTACTCCGGGACAAAAGGTGGGGGAGATTAAGCGCCACTTTATTATAGCACAGTGACTCATCGCGAGACGGTTTATCATTGTTGAAAAACCGCAAATAGCACGTCGAACGGAATTATGAAAGGGTGCGTCAATATTACATCCTAATGTTGGAAGATGGTACATGCGGTACGGTCCATTTTATTGGTGGCGCGATCGAAAAAGGGTTGACTCTGTATCGGAACGCACAATAAGATAATCGGAGGGTGATCCTTTCTTTTTCGCACGAAGAGTTTCGCGTGTGTGTTTTTGAACAAAAATCGCGTCTAAAAGTGTGACATTAGAGCAGTGTCTTTCCTGCGTTTTAAGCTCGTAAAAGTTTGAAAAATTTGGTACCTTTTTTTCCTTGTAAATAAGATATTCGCGGCTTTATTACTCGCAACACGGACGAAAATGCAATTTAGGTAAATTAGAATTTAAAAGGATGCACGTCATTTGTTGGAATGAGCTGAACAATTTACGACGCTCTTTAAAAATGGAAAATTCTTTCTTCGGATTGCTAAACGAAGCGCGAAAAGTCACTTCCGAAGTTTCCTCGCGCCTCTCTCACATGTATCTCCAGTTTTCTTCTGGAAGCAGATGGTTGACGCGACGTCATTACCGGCGTAAGATAAATTATAATTAGCAGAGCCCGTAATATCCTTTGAATAAATGAGTAACCGCCAGCGGCAAATATCCCTACGCTCGTCTCGTTCGTTTAAGTCGAGGTCTCGCGACTCATTTCTTGTCACACCTTTATATTCGCGTTAAACATAAATTGATGCAAAACTCCTCTCTCTCTCTCGGCGTGGGATACTTCGTTAACGATTCCTCGTCCTCGCGTCGTGCGAAAACTGTTAAAGCGGTCGGAGAAATATTTTCACTCTCCGACATTATTCGGCACCACGCAGAGTCGCTCTTTATGAAAAGCAAACTCGGGTTCTATCAAAGGGCGTGTTCAAAACTAAATTTGGTTACTGCCAGTGAAAGACGTAAAATTGGCAACATTGAAAATTACTGGTGCTACGTTTCACGTTTGGGTGTCTTGAAAATTTCCTTATAATTAAGGAGAAAATGGATTGTGATAAATTAAGTAAAGTAACATTGAAAGATTATGAGATTTAGAAAACGTATTAGAAATAATTTCTAGTATTTGAAACTACCTTCTTTTCATCTCCATTGTTACTTCATAAAATATTTTTCGTAGCTCTTCATCATTATGATCATTCGAGGAATAACTGCCAGATAATTCAAATATATGTTCAGGAGTAACATATTTTTCCACAATCATTATTTATTCTATTATTATTTTATATTTTATTCATAATTTGCAAAATGTTTTTATACGAGTAGCAAGAATCCTCACTTTTTGTGTGTATAAGTCTAACATCTTTTTATCAGCTGATTTATTGGTGAGAGAAACGAAATTGACAGGGCCAATAATTTTCAGTGCTGTCAACTTTACCTCTTCTATCGGCAGTAGCCAAATTTATTTTTTCGAACACGCCCAAAATCGAGGCGACTCTCGAGATATTTCGGAAAAAGACGCATAACTCGGAAAGCTCGAACGTCGAAAAATTATCGCGCGTTTTTAAGACAATTTTTTTTTATCAAAACTCGAACAGACTAA